GGATTTAATCGCCGTCAGGTCCGAAGTCCATACGACGCCTCAGCTCTGCGGATGTCTCGGGGGTATGGCAAAGTGGAATCGATTTTTTGAATTTTAATTTTGTCGGTGGACRTGGGTTCGATCCTCACCTMMTCCACATTTTTCCCTTCTTCTTCAGATTCTTCATTTGATTGAAACCCCAAACATTTTTTWAAATCAAAAATAACTTCTACATTTCTTGTTGCTTACTTTCGTCAGATCAGCATTATTAATAAAAGTAATAATAATAATTAATACTTATTTAATGGATTTCTATAGCGCTATGTATTACACTCTATAACGCTTGACAATGAATTTTCAAACATAAAATATAGAAATATATATATATATGTGTTTATATATTACTGGAGCTACTGACTGTCTATACCCCAAATTGTTTTATCTTAGTATATGAATAAATTCTACTAAAATCTAAACCGATAGCGGAAGAAACTTACAGTGCGGACACTCGAACCATGAACATTTCAAGGTTTTTTTGTCACTGATTTTTTTCATAACTGTCCAATCACAGCTCTCTGTAGAAACAAAGGAATTTTTTAGGTGCCATCCAATCACAACAAGCGGCGGAAAGTCTTTGGATGTTTTATTTTTATTTCACTCCGTGTGAACTAATGAACTACTAGATTGTCGCACAGAGTGCAAACTYTCAATAATTTACAGAAATAAGACAAAAATATCGTCCATTGACGAAGAAGCTATTATGAAAACCTTAACAACGGCAAGAGACTCTGGAATCGCACGAAAAAATGTTGGAACCTCAGTAAGAATCTCGCTTCTGATTGGATCATTCGAAAACTGTTAAAAAATCTTGAAGTGTTCATGGTTCGAGCGTCCGCACAGTAATAATGAATATAAGTAAAAATACACAGGTGATTGTTGAAAATCTCGCGCGCTGATTGGTCGAGAAACTCAGATTATCACACGATAATCACSTCCAGCGATAATCCAAAATGGTGGCCAGCTGCTTTGTTCCTGTTACCGGGAAAAATGTYTTTTWTYTTYTTTTTTTTTTTTTTTTTTTTTTTTTTTTTTTTTTTTTTTTTGAAAGAATCACCTGTGTCTTTACACTAAAACAATTATTTGCCTCAGCCTCAGTAAATATCGGAGAATATTTACCTCGGTAAATATTCCCCGATATTCACTTCGCCTTTGGCGAATCATTGTTCAATATTGCTTTGCGAGTCTAAAAGTAGCATGGATATCTCTGTGTGTCCCTTTTACTTGACTTTTCTAGTTTTTAAATAGTTTTTTTTTAATACTTTATGTTATAGACTGCTTTCTTAGGATTGAAAGATTTTTGTTTCCCTCGACCAAACTAAAAATAGAATGGCTTATCATTCTACTTGACAAATGGTTCAGCACAAAAACTATTCTTTTTTATTGTATAACMTGAATCATATGAAAGGCATAATATATAATGTTCTCCTAATTCCTATAGTTCAAACAAGCCTAATTCAATTGATTGATAAGGTTCTAGAGTTTTCATGGAGCGGTTCGTGTTACTATACAAGAATTTGTATCCTGACTCATTCGCGAGTTTTTGTTCCACACAGATGGCAATCAAGTCAGAAATCACCGCGAATAGACAGGAGAGTTAATTTATCGAACGGACGTCATATTCAGATTTTCATAAAGGGAAGACATCTGTGAAAATACACATATATCGAATTGTCCAAGCAGTTTTGTGTGGTTGCCCGCGATAACGAACTAAAAATTATGGAGGACTGTAAATCKACCGAGGAAGTGTCTTCACTTGCAAAACAACTACAAAAAAAGCTCAACATTTATTCCGTCAATCAAGATTCCGATAATTCTATTCGTAAATGTGGCTCACTAAGTAATATTGATAGCGAGATACAAGGAACGACAACAAGATTGAAGCAAAAATTAGAAGGGCAAAGAATGGTGAGGTCTGTTCCAAGCAGTCCAAATCTGAATCGATGTGGCGTAGKTAGGCCTAAACGACCTTCAACTCCCATACCAGGTGAACTTAACAGGCGCAGATTATTACAGCGAGGAAGAGAACCGTTCATAACCGATGGTAATCATAGTTGTAATGAAGAATCTTGACAATCAACGAACCAAATGAAATCRAGGGTTTATATTTTTAGGGCTTAATTCAGCGTTCCTCTAATGAATGATAATCAGATTTAAAAGTATGGATCTTATTTGTTTATGCTRCAAAACCTGTAATTATATAACGTAGGGAATGAATATTCGAGATGACATATTGAGTCGAGATCAAACCTCTGATCCAAGCTTGTGAAAGCCAAGAGACCGAATCTGAATTTATAAGGGTTTTTTCATAGAAAAATAAACAAAGATCCTAGAAGGAAACCCTCGAGGTTGGAGAGAAACGACCGCAACTCTTGCTGCTCGCACATGATGG